CCCCCCCCCCCCCCCTTAGCATTATATATCATTCCCCAATTTGTTCATAAACAGTATCATGTCATTTAAGAATCTTAAGTTAATGATTGTTTACCTGACCATTTGACTCTGCGTCTCCTAAGGCAAAGTTTGCAATAGCGTTGACACTGTTCTTGTACGTGGGTCGGTCCGGGGTCAAGGTGGGTCGGTCAGGGGTAACTGATTTCTGAGATCTTAGGTTCTCTAAACTGTTTTTCCGCACCGGAGTTTTACTACTCAGGAATTTGGAATTGCTTTTTCCAGATTTATCTGATTATTCGCCATAGTTAAGTATTTAAATATCGTCAAAACATTTAGGGTCTGTCCTAGAGAACGATTTTTGGACCCCCCCTCCTATTTATATACAAGATCATTTATTTTTCAGCAAATTTATTATTATTCATTTATTTGTTATTTAGGGTTGGGTTAAGAAACTTTCTGGGCCGAGCGCTGCGGCTAGGATGGGCTAGGGGACCGAGCGCTGCAGCCACGGGTTAGGTTAGATAAGACACTTCCTGTCAGACCCATGTACAAAATTGATAGGAGGGGGGGGGTCCAAAAATCGTTCTCTATGAATATACCAACATTTATTCAAGGTAGAAGCAAATCCCTTTAATCTTAACGTAATGCACAAAACATGATACTAATATAACCTCATAATAAATGACGTTCCTAAGTTCAAATTATCAATAAATTTAGCCGCTCCTTTTCTAATATCTTCAGAATATTGATGCCTATCTATACTCGCCATTTTACCCCCCTCATCTGAAAGAAAATGGTTTAATTTGGAATTTTAACAGATTCATTGTTTATTTCTTGAATTGGCAACAAGTTGATTTGCGCATTGCCGCTGAAGAATAGGCCGTTCTAATAAAGAAATGCAATACACTGGTGTAAACCCTAAGGGTATATTTACACTGGTGTATTTGTGTCCCCCGGTGTAACCTAACCACGGATTTAATAATCATTNTACGTCTTAATGTCTAGTTTCGCGCCTGAGCTGAAAACTTTGGTGGATATCGAGATTAATTCTTGATCTCCTCTTTTTCTTGGAGCTGGGTAGGTTGGATGTGTAGTATAGCAGATTTGGCGTAGGTAATAAGGGGAGTATAGCGGATTTGCGTTGGTAGAAAAATACACCATCCAGATTTAGTAACATAAAAAAGTGACAGCTTTTGATTTTAACCAGCTGTGACAGCTTGAACCAGAAGAAGAATTGATGTTGAATGCCGCAAACTATTTCCATTTTCCAAACCATATCCTCGCCATTTCCCACACGTGCAGCATTCCCAGTCAGTTCGCGTGGAAATTATTTTAATTGTTAAATTTTATCGTGAATTGTAACAAGAGTTTGTTCTTTCCTTGCAATTACCTATTGCAATTCATTATTGTGATTTTTCCAGTTATTTTAAGCAAATAAGATTGTTGTTTTCTTTTGTTTACATTTTTTGATTTTTTCAGAAGAATGGGTGTGGATATCCGCCACAACAAGGATCGTAAGGTCCGCAGGACCGAGCCTAAGTCCCAAGATATCTATCTGAGGCTTTTGGTCAAGCTCTACAGGTTCCTGGCCCGTAGGACTGATGCCAAGTTCAACAAGATCATCCTCAAGAGGCTTTTTATGTCCTGTAACAACAGGCCCCCCATGTCTATTGCCAGGTACTTCAATTTAGCAGTGCAGCCTTTAGTCTCGTAGACGGTGGTTCCAGATCGTAATTTAGTTAAATCGGCTCCGTATGGCGAAATAGTCCAGACGTAAACGTGAGGTGCCAGTCAAATTTTAAGTTAAAATCAGTTAACAATTATCGTTTAACTTTTGTTAATAAAAAGTAATTACAATCAATTGGTAACTAAATTATTATGCCAGATTATTAACTACATAATTGGTTATGGAGTTAGATTGAATATTTTTCGATAGCACGTTAAATCTTATCTTCTCTAACCGGTTTTGGTTATTTCCTAAAAAACGATTTTTGGCCTCCCCCCCCCTCCTATCAATTTTGTACATGGGTCTGACAGGAAGTGTCTCAACTTAACCTAACCCGTGGCCGCAGCGTTCAGCCCCCTAGCCTATCCTAGCCGCAGCGCTCGGCCCAGAAAGTGTCTTAACTAACCTAATCCGTGGCCGCAGCGCTCGGCCC